TGGCAGAGACAATGCAGGCCAAGCTTACAGGATTCTTGTAAGGATTAGTGAAATGATATATGTAAATAGTCCTGAGCACATGGAACAAGCCTAGATCTTGTGATGCACCGACCTGAACACAGCCCACCAGCTATGTGCTGAGGCCGCCAGATGCTTTGCTTCCTCCGGGGTGCCAGTAATTTAGATCAGCCCCTTCATCTCTGAAGGACCGCTTCTTACAAGATGCTCTGCATTCAAATACAGACGCCCAATTACAAAACACAAGCAGACATCATCAATTAAAATGGGTGATGGTGCATACAGTTGCCAATTTCCCTTTAAAAATCCATAAGCATTAACAACCAATCCCCCCCCCCAGTTGCCACTCACACGCATATTGAATGGGGGAGAACAAACAGGAACAAAGCACTGGCTTGTACATGTATGGACCCTACATAGCCAATACTTGTGTTTTACATTCTGACATCTGTTTCTAAGCTGGAGAGCTGGGGTGGGGGGTGGGGACATCGTGCAGCAAATATTATTAAAGTATAAAGGTAAAGGGACCCCTGACCATTAGGTCCAGTCGTGACCGACTCTGGGGTTGTGGCGCTCATCTCGCTTTATTGGCCGAGGGAGCCGGCATACAGCTTCCAGGTCATGTGGCCAGCATAACTAAGCCACTTCTGGCGAACCAGAGCAGCGCACGGAAATGCCGTTTACCTTCCCGCCAGAGCGGTACCTATTTATCTACCTGCACTTTGACATGCTTTCGAACTGCTAGCTTGGCAGAAGCAGGGACTGAGCAACGGGAGCTCACCCCGTTGCGGGGATTCGAACCGCAACCTTCTGATCGGCAAGCCCTAGGCTCTGTAGTTTAACCCACAGTGCCACCCGCGTCCCTTCTATTAAAGTATACCAAACTTTTAAAATCATGGAGATAGTGAGGTCCATGGGTCCAAGCATTTCTCCCAATAGAAAGGTCTGCTCATGACATCAGATAGATAGATTTCTTTCTAGCTTTCGAACACCTTTTCTATGAACCTACCTATGAAGGTACTGTCTGCTAGTGTCAAAAGACGAAATACAGGACTAGGCAGATCGTATTCTACTTTTGATATTCTGGACACTGTAACGTCAGGAACTGGCACTTCTGGGAACCAGCCAATGCCCACAAGCCCAACAACGGCCCAGTGCCAAATCCCAGAGCCCTTTGGGATGTACTGATAGATCTCTGGATGATTCGCAGTCAATGAGCAAGGCTTTCTGAATCCCATCCAAACAGCTGAGCAGCAGCAACAACAACAACAGCAGGTTATCTCCCTCCTGTCCTCAACTATACTGCCAAAATGAAGAGCGCTTGGGGCAATAACCAGGAGTGGATTTCTGTGAGGAAGGACTGCAAGTTCTATTCAGTCCTGCTACTCAAAACCTCTAGACCCCAAATTCTTTAATTATAAGTGTATGACTTACGTTCCTGGCTCTGGTTGGTGGCTCTCAGGTTTCTGGTCCAAAACAAAGGAGATCCCACAAGCCTGAAAACCGCCTATTCTTGGACCAGAAAAAAGAGGAAGGAAACCGACCCCCGTAGGTCTTGGTCCCATTAACAATGGTGCAGAATGCACCCACACATAGAAGGCAAGCAAACAGGAACCGGCCATGAGATGGGTTACTTAGGGCGCAGAGCCCTTTGAGGGCATTTTGTCCAAGGGCCCCTGATACCCTGGAGTTGGCACTGATTCATAGGATAGAATCATAGAAGCAACTTATTTGTTGACAAGTGCGTAGCAGGAGCTCTATGCTCACGGCCCTTCTTCCTCTGTGAGGAACTTAGCCCAGCTGGGTGGCTGTTGGCCAGAGTAAGTTCATCCAAGTTCTTTTGGAAGAGGATATGAAGACAACAAATCCTTCCTACTCCTATTTTAAAACGAACAGATAAGTGACTGTGGAAATGCCTACACAAAACATTCTCACCAGCAATTTCAAGGGCAGCATTTGACTGTTAAGCAGCTAAACAGGGAACACGAAACATTATTCACAGGCAGAACAACAGGAACTGAGGGGGTGGCAACTGCGGGTCTCCTATTAAAAGACTAAGTCTTGGCTCACAAACATCTTGGGGAAGCTGTGGCCAGAGTACCCCCAAAGCAGGGTTTTAAGCAAGGGGGGTTGGAGAGTTTGTTTTGGTGTTCTGGAGAGATGCCCTCTTTTTCCTAAACCTAAAAGTAGAGAAAAACAGAGAACCGCTTACTCACACCCTCTTCAAGAGTAATACACACATGTGGGTTGGTCGGCTAGGCCGTCAAGCTGGGTGCAAAATTTAAAGAAGTAGAGAGGCCCTTCCGTAGGCAGGCAGAGAGACAAGACATCCAAGAACTCAGATCAAAACTCAAACCCCACGAAAAGGAAGACATCACAGGACTTGTACCATTCTTTGCAGCACCAAAATATGTGGAAACTGTGGCCGTTGCAGAGAAAACAACTAGCACATGGTGTTTCTAAAGGTAAGGAAGACCCAGAACATTTTTAAAACATTTGATGGGATTTTATTTCTTATGTGTCAAATTCAGATATACAAAAACTCTCTCCTCGTGACAAGTTGTGAATTTGCAGCATCACGGTGTGTTTTTGCTTTTATATACTACCTGCTCTCTTACTGTTTTATATCTGCAACTTTTGCAAATGTCTCCCATGTTTTGTAATTTTGGTTATGTTCTTTCTTATTTGCACTTTTGATTCTGTATTAATTTAAAACTTCTTGCAAAAAAAACAAACCCACAAAAAACCCACAAGCAAACAGCCAGGTGCTGAAGTAAAAAGTACACCAGGGCTGAGAACTTCAAGGTGGGTGAAGAGTGTGACTGATTTTAAACCACATCTGGAGAACAACATTTACAAGGAAGCAAACCTGCTGTCTGTCTTTTTCTGTATGTGGTGCTACCCACCGCTGCATGTTCTACCTTCCTTGCCTATCAAATATAACATCTTCCCAATTCACTTAATACATCTATAGCAGGGGTGGGGAACCTCACGCTCCAAATAAGGTCCTCCAAACATCTCTATCTAGACCTCAGGAATCTCCCCTCACTAAATCCCCTCCCCAGACCAACTCCCTCACCGTGGCTGCTTCACATCCTTCCTTACATCCTTGTGCCTGCCTGGAATGTGTGCTCTCGAATTCTGACAATGGCTCTTGGCTTCCAGGATGGAGAAAAGCAAGGTTGTGTGTGTACACTAGTCTACTGTATGAGGTATAATTTACACTGGTTACACTGCCTGCTTCTGCCTCTGGCCCTGCATGTGGCCCTCAGAAGCCCATCCAGACAGGAATGTGGCCCTTGGGCTGAAAAAGTCCCCACTCCACCCTGATGTAGAAGAAATGGTCTGTACTGAACAAAAAGCTCATGCCACAATCAGTCTGAAAGAACCACAAAATGCCAGCTCATAAAAAGAAGCAAATTATTACTATGAAATTAGTCTATCTGTCACTGTGATCACAAAAGCAGTGTGTGTGCGCACACGGAAAAGATTCCCCAGCGCCACAGGGAGCTCTTGAAACCAAAAACTAAAGCAGGTTAGAAAACGAATGAACTTATTAAATACGTGCACACCTAGGAAAGAAAGCAGTACCCCCTGATGTCAGCAAATATAATAGCTTATTAAAGCTACGATGTTTTCATTCCAGGGATCCGATGACAAATTTTAAATGCCCCAAGTGGCCGTTCTAAAAAGCAGCAAACAGTTGACTAACACGTGCATCTGTGCGTGTGTGCACATGCGCATGCATGTACGTGCACACACACACAATATTTAAATGTCATCACTGATGTTAATGATGCACTTTCTCTTTCAGTCAAGTGGAAACAGAGGGAAGCAAACAGAACACCCCTCTGGGATCATCATCCTCCTGACTAGCAGAGTAGAATAGTAAGCAAAAGGTCTCTCCAAACTCTCTATGTCAACCTGCTAGCGCACAGATAAAGCAGCGAGGACTCCTCCACCAAAATTTATTCAGGAGGAGAGATTTATCAGGGGTGGGGCTCACCATTAGGGTTAACGTTAGCAGCAGCAGCAGCACAACTTCTTTCTATTTCTCCCCCCTGCAAGGTTTCTTTTTGTTTTGTTTTGTTTTTGCACCACTGGAAGTGTGGGTGGTGGCACCCTGCACAATGCTTCAAATTTAGTGTTGCTCTGGGACACTGTGTGTGTTTGGGGCGGGAATGGCAAATGCCACTGAAACATGGCAAATAATGTTTGAAGACAATCCTGCAGAGTTTTTTTGTGACGGGGGGGGGGGGAGAGAGAGATCTCAGAAACTCAGCAAAATGTCTTCTGGGAAATTTCAGCTCAGCTCTAAGCAGAAGAAATAAGAGAAACAAGAAGAAGCATCGTCTTCAACCATCCAGCACTATCAGCCTCCTGTGCTTTAGAACTAGCTCTCCCTCCTTGTCCTTCCTAGGAAATGTTGTGTTTTTTCCTCAACTATCTCTACATACATAAGCATCCATGCACAGGTACAGACATGCACACACGCACCCCCCCAAAAAAACAGCACCATGCTGTAGAAATGTTGCCTACAATAGATTTGGATACATTTTTCTATTTTTATTTTTTTTACTATTTCTACAGATGTCAGTGAAGACAACTCAAACATCTTGGGTGAGTCATTGGCAGCATTTGCATATAACGCTAAGCCAAATCTCTGGGTTTGATAAGCCAGGACGTATATGAGTGGCAATCACCCACAGGCTTCTCCTTTCCTGCCAGTTTGCTCATCTCTACGCAAAAGCAGCAAACGAAGCCAGGATCCATGGTTTTAAAGGGAAATGGCTTCCATTTCACAATTTGCACAGAAGCACCGGGTTAAGTGCTAAACCCAGGCTTGCTTTATTTGCTTACAAGAATGAAGGAGCAAGGTTGCTGTGTGTGAATGTATGCTATTTCAAGGAATCATGGAATTGTAGAGTTGGAAGGACCCACAATGGTCATCTAGTCCAACGCCCTGCAATGCAAGAATGATCTGTCCAATGTGGGGCTTGAACTCACAGCCCTGAGATAAAGAGTCTCATGCTCTACCAACTGAGCTATCCCAGCTTTACATGTGAATGAGGCCCCTATCTTCAATCTCCCCATCTTTAAAATTGAATGCCAATGATAACCTCATGGGGGTTGGTAGCTGGATGATAAAGATCGAAAAGTATTCAATCATTTTGCATATTGGGCATGTGGAATAATGATAGCGAATATAAGAGATATTATCCTTCTGCTACGTGTGGAGTTTGGAAGTAAACATGTTTGTAAAACAAGAAGATCTGGATAATGGAGGCCCCTCGTTCTACCAAGCTATCCCCAGGGACATGGAGAAAGCCTACCTTTCATACAACTGTGGATCTTATCTTGATCAAGTCACCTTCCTGCCTCCCCCAAATTCCATTTACTCCCAGGCATGTGGTGTTCTATTTTTATCGGAAGTAGGAGAATCAACAGAATTAACAAGGTTGATCCTGATTCCCAGAGGTCTCCCGCTGAGGAAATTGCTTCAATTTGCACTTTCGGATTTTTTAGCCTCTGCAAGTTCTTCTCAATATTGCCCTTCTTTCGATATACATAAATATCAATACAGGTGCTCATTAAGTAAACAGCTGAAAACTCAGTAACAAGGGGAACTAACAGTGGAAGACTAACCCCGTCTACTCAAAAGTAAGGCTCACGGAGTACAGTGGAGATTGCAACCCAGCCAAAGTGGGTACAAGATTGCAGCCTAAAACGGATTAACTGATCAGGTCATGAGATGATCCCTTGCTAGGGATAATCCATTGATAAGCGCCATTTATCTGCATGCTTTGTTCACTTGTCTCTATTTGTCCTGTCCCCAGTATTGCCACCTCTGAAGCCAGAGCTCTGATGTTAGACAGAGCCCCGTTGTTTCCTCAGCACTGTTTATCAGCCCCAGCTCCTTGTCTGACATTTCCTGTTCACATACAGTCCTTGCTGATCACGGACTCTAGCTTGGTTGCATGGATACTTCAGGCCCAGGCAACTTTCCCATTTTTAGCTCATCTGATTAGCCTAGCAGGCATCCTGTTGCTCTGCCATTTCTCAGGTGAAAACAGTAAAAGGAGAAAAGAAAGATATGTACATATAAGAGGACAACCCCGACTCACAGGCCAGCTCTTTGTGGAGTGCAAAACAAATGCATCTTTTATAAGGAAATCCCCTTTCCCTTCTCAGATCAATATATCCACACATCACAATACAGTGGTACCTCGGGTTACATACGCTTCAGGTTACAGACTCCGCTAACCCAGAGATAGTGCTTCAGGTTAAGAACAGAAATCGTGCTCCGGTGGAAAGTGGTGCTTCAGGTTAAGAACAGTTTCAGGTTAAGTACGGACCTCCGGAACGAATTAAGTACTTAACCCGAGATACCACTGTATGGTAAAGAGGGGAGTCTGGGGCATGGGGAAGGGAAGGGAAGGGGGATAAGAAGAGCAAGTGTTTAAGTAACATATATCCTCTAACTGATTCTTATTTGGCATCCTGTGCCCTCTCTCCCTGTCCAACCTAGCCTTTGGCCACACCGCTTATCTGATCAAATTAAAAGCCACAGCCAGTGGAGGCTGGTCCATAATGGTGAGCCCACCAACTTCAACCAGCCCCCACCTTCTGCCCTTCTTTCTTAAAAACAGAGTGGCAGTGGGTACCAGCTTACTACTCCTTAGTAGGACCTCAGCAAGGAGGGACAAATCCAGTTGTCTCTGTGTATCATCATTGGCTCTGTCTCTGTATCCTGTTGGCCTCACTGCTTTCTGCCCTACCAGCCCCAAGTGGCACCAGCAACCACTGGCCAAAGCTATGAACATCAGGTGTGATTGCCAACTTTACTTTATGAACATGAATGGCAGCCCTGCTTATCTATCAAAGGTCCACTGATAGCCCAGCATACTGCCTCCCACAGTACCAACCAGACATCTCTGGAAAACCCAACAGTAGGACAGGAAGGCAACAGTACTTTCTTTGGTTGCTTCCATCTGGCAACTGGAATTCAGTGGTGAACAGAGGAATCTGCCTTGGGCAGAGTCTGGCCACAGGTGCTCCTGGTCCAGTTTTGTCTACGCTGAATAGCAATGGCTCTCCAAGGATCCAGACACAGGTCCTCCCAGCCTGACTACCTAGAATCCTGAGAACTGAACTTGGTACTGTCTGCAACCTAAGTATGCTATGGTCTTCCACAAGACTGCATGGCTGCTTCCCCATTCCTTACTCTACAATGGTCCCCTTTTGTCTGATACATTGCACGAGGCACATTTGAGGGGAAACCCCACCCTCCAAACATCCTGATTTCCAAGAAGCAGTCATGCTTGCTTCTCGCTCGCCTTTGTAGAGCCCCAGCTGGCTGAGTGTCAATAGCTAAGCAGCTGACCATTGTGAGGTCAGGGCAGTCAACCTCCTCCACCCCCACCCCTTTTTGACCTTACAAACTGCAACTTAAAAAAAGAATAAGAATGCTCTTGGGTTGGCTGTTGGGCTAGAATGCTTGGGCCATGTGTCCAATTTTAGTCTGTCTTTATAGGATTGTAGAGCTGGACGGGACCCCAAGGGTCATCGAGTCCAGTGTTTCCCAACTGGGGGCCCCAGAATATTCCAATGGGGCAACAGGTGAAAATCGTGTAAATGGGGGGCCAAAACATGAGGCTAGGGGGCCACTGATGAAATGGGGGGGGCAGGTTTTTAAAAAATCCTGACTGGCTGGCTATCCACTTGGCCAACCACAAGCATGTAAGGGGGCAGCCCATCAGGGCCTAACGCTCCTTTTTGCCAAATACATTTTCTTGGAGTAGTCCTGGTTTGTTTCCAGTGAGAGAGAGCAATTGCTGAGGCTCCCGTTTTGACCAGTACAGCCCGCGATCCACAACTCTCAGGTCAGGTACGTGCAGTGGTGGGATGGCAACGGGAAGTGCTGGGCGAGCCAAAGCTGCTTGTGGCAGCTGCCAGTGCTGGGCCCAGCGGCAGCCTGGGCCTGACTTTGCAAGCTGCAGAGTGCAATCCAGCAGCTAGTGGATCAGGGCCTTCGGATGTTGCCATGGGGCGCTCAGAGAGCATAGGAAGCTACCTTACAATGAGTCAGATATATTTGGTCCATCTAGCTTAGTATTTACTACACTGACTGGCAACGACTCTCCAGGGTTTCAAACGGGGGTTCCCATGAAGCCCTACCAGGAGATGCTGGGGACTGAACCTGGGACCTTCTGCATGCAAGGCGGATGCTCTCCCACTGGGCTATGGCCCTCCCTCTAATAATCATTCTTGTGAGGCCAAGGTAGTTGACTGAGAGAAGCAGTGAGGTTGTTAGCGAACAAGACCTTAAGTGACAGGGTAGCAGCACCCCAGTCCTAGGAACAGAAACAGCAGGCTGGGAAACAAATAAGAGAGACGGCTGCTGCCCTGATTGTAGGTAGCCCAAAACAGAATGCTGGATTAGATAGCCCCCTTGGTCTGATCTAGCAGGGCTCTTCTTAAGGCCACATGTGCTTTACATGCTAATGGCAGCTAAAACTGAAGCACTGCACCTGGACTTGGACGTTCCATTTAGCTATGACGACTGATGCCCATTGACAAACCTATCTTCCATAAATTTGCCTGATCTTCTTCTAAGAACAGTTCAGAATCTAATGGGGGGGAGGCAGCAAGTCAATAGTAATCAAAGCCATACAGTTGGAAATATCGCGCTAGCAAAAAGCATGTGCATAAATACAAAAACCAAGAGTTCAAGTTCCCTGTCCATTTTTTGCAAGAGAGCAACACTCTAGCACCACACATTTTGCCAAGGAAGGCAGAGCAGAAGCTCAAGTAATTAACTTCCTTCACTGGAAAGGCCTTTAAAACAAGCACGTTGTGCCTGGGGCTAAAGTGCAATCAGGTGCAGAATGCCTGTGGTGTGGACAGGTAGTGGCAAAGGCTTGGGTCACAGAGTTACCTGACGGCGTGATCCATTCAGGCTTCGTAAACTAGCTTGGGAGTGGGTGGGAAGCATGCTATTTTCTACTCCTAACCTGACTTTTCAGAAACTTGACTCTGAAATCTCGTCCACAGATAAATACTATGACCTTTGCTGAACTGCCCTCCCTTAAACAGCATTACTAGGCAGAAAGCAGAGACTATCTGAAGGGAAGGTCCTCAGGGACTCCGCAAAACTCCCCTCCAAAAACACACAAGTTGACCTGCTCGACCCTGCATCAAGAAAAGAGACCTCTTGGCTTTCTTTACGACCTAGGATAAAAGCACCACATTACTCACAAGCAGAAAGCAGAGTGCCACAGCATGTCTTTGGGAAATGCAAGCTGAACTGAGAGGAAAAACCAACACACTGATAAAGGAACAGGTGTGCTGGTTTCAGCTGCCTCTCTCCTCTCTCTTTTTTTTATCAATTGAAATGGAAAGACAGACACTTTTCCTTACCGGCTGAGATGGCTCGACTTAAAAAGCCAGTAAGTTTTCTCCTAGTGCTCACATGAAACATGACATCCAGAACAGAAGAACCCTTCAAAGTATACATGTGTGGTGGAAGCCTCCAACTGTTAGCATGGTGGTCTGCTGGCAACAATACCAGCATATTGTGGAGACAGCGGATTGCTCATAGCTAACTTAGCAAGTGAATTGTAGACACATTTAACAATGGCTGCGAGACTGGCAAAGGCGCCTCATTATAGAGTTAATGAGCTGCGTAAGCACATTTCAAAACATAATTTTCTTCCCTTAGAAAACATATATTGTTCAGAAAGCCTGGATAGCTCTCTTCATTTTAACATCCCTCTTTTCTGTGGGCCCATCTGTGTTTTGACACAATATTTATATTTTCGTATGCCACAAAACGGCATTTGATGCCGAAATCTAAATAACTATTCCACGAGCAGATGTGGGACATTCCAAATGAGTAAAAAGGCAACAAATAATCAAAGTCTGAACTGCTCAGCAGTATTTCTGGAAAACAAAAAATAAAATAAAATAGGCCCATACAGAGCCAACGATTCACCCACGTTCTCTGTTTCATCAACGGAATGTTCCCTTTCTCCATTAGCTGCAGGTTGAGGCCACAGCTTGGAAAAGCATGCATGCCTCCAACTCTTGACACACAACCTCAACAATCCCACAGGAACTATGTGGATGAGCTTTGCCCCTGTAACAAGGCCCCCAGGTATCTCATGCATGAGCCAGCCACCCTGCTCAGCCATGCTTTCTGTCATACTAAGAAGGGAGCTTTATGCATGCACATGGACTTCTAGCAGGAGGATTTTCCAAAGCAGAGAGGAATATGATGGCACACAAAATAAAAGCTGGAAGTACAGCTACCACCATGCTTTAAAGAGCTATACATCCTGGAGGCATAATTAACTCACTGCTCATTTTGAATAGCAGTTCAGCCAATATACAGTCATACCTTGGGTTGAATATGCTTCATGTTGAGCGCGTTTGAGTTGCGCTCTGCGGCAACCTGGAAGTAACAGAGCGCGTCACTTCCGGATTTCGCTGCTCGCGCAGACGCTCAAAATGACGTCAAGAGGTACCACAAATGCCATTATGGCAAGAATGTTTGCAGAACTGCCCACAGTTAAAACAGACATACAGTCATACCTCGGGTTGACTGCGCTTCGGGTTGAGCGCATTCGAGTTGCGCTCCATGGCAACCCGGAAGTAACAGAGCGCATTACTTCCAGGTTTCGTCACTTGCGCATGCGCAGACGCTCAAAATGACATCACACACATGCGCAGAAGCGGCAAAAAGTGACGTGCGCATGCGCAGACGTGCCGTCGCTAGTTACATTTGCTTCCAGATTCGAACGGGGCTCCAGAATAGATCCCGTTCGTATCTAGAGGTACCACTGTACATAGGCCTGTTAACTGTCACATTTAGTTTAGCCCTGACTGAGTGGCTTTGGAGGGTCACTCAAGTCTGCTACATCTTGCCCCCTATATCACACTGGTTCCCCACACAGAGCAAAATGGCATTGCTCAAATGCTATTTAAAGTTCAGAATACGTTTACCCCAGCAAAAATAAAATAACCAAGGAAAAGTCACTCACTATGCAGCAGAGTCATTCAGCTGGTACTCTCGGGAACGATTAAAACAGGCCTGGACTCCGTTGTCTGACCACAGCCTCCTGATCACGTTGGACAAGTCCTCTGGCATGATCCCCTGCTCCTCTGCAGTGCAAGAGAGTGCAAACAACTGACGGGCATCATCCTGCAGGGGAAAACAAAACCCAGGTGGTTAGGCCCTTGAGCTCTCCTTGGCTCATCTGCAGAGCATCACACTGAAGCTCACATTTCACTCCCACACTCCTCCCAAGAGGGTCATCCCAGGGGAGGTGTGCTTTAGTGCTGAGCAATGGAGTAAAACATTCCCTAGGTGCAAAGCAGTTGCCCGTGCTGAATGTGTCAACATCTCTGCAAGAAGCCAGTGCTTAAAGACTTTATTGATTTAACAGCGCTAAACAAAGCTGACATCAGGTAAACAATTTGATGGTCAATACAGGAACACAATTACAGCTTATCTTTGGTTGCAGAAACTCTAGGGAACACCTAGTGGAAGCATGAATTTGCTGGTAACTTGACAGCGGGTGGACCTGAGCAGGATTACTCTGGAAAGGCGAAATTTATTTGGTGCTATCCACTTTCCCTTCTCAAAGACACAAAACAGAAAAGACAAACTGGCAAAAACATCAAGGTGCTAAATGCCTTTAATGCAATGGTCAGGAAACACTGAGAATCAAAAGTTAAAAGCAGAAACAAGGAACAAGAATTTCAAAGATGTTTCTCTTGTCAAAGCAGCTCATTCAATTACAAAGACGAAGTACCCATGATTAAACTATTGTGAGTCTAAGCCCAATTCAGATCTCTCTGTAGAGGTGTGGCACTGCTGAAAAATTGCTCCCTTGTGGCCTGTTTACATGCTGACACGGTGACAAATGGAAGATAGGATCACCCACAAACACTCTGTTCAAGCAGCTGATTCCCACTCCAGCGCTGCCTCTCCTTACGAAAATCCAGCTGCTGGTGTAGGAGTATGAATGACGAAATCCCATGAGGTTGGAACGTGCTTACACTGAGGATGCCCAACCGCAACAGAATGGCCTTCCGTGACTCTAACATGGCAACACTATTATATGGACTTGACTGAAGGCAGCTGCAACATTTTTGGGGCAGAAGCCAAACAACACATGGGACCAAAGGATGGAGAAGACTGCAACAGAGAATGTTGTGTGAATTAGGTACTTCTGCCTGATGGAGATGTGAAACTGCAAATCCTGCCTATTGCTATACTACCATAAATTGGTCCCGTAAAAAGGTCCCTTTTACATCATCTGCTTTAAGGGTCAGAAAATGCACATTGTGGAAAATGCATAATGAGCCAGGAGCAGCACTCACACTGTCCCCAGTCACATAGGTTTCTCCTTGTCAAACCTAGAATGTCGCTCAGAGAACCAAAACTCTTAAATTTATCCTTAAGAGGAAAGCTCAGTGGTATAGCATCCACCTTCCACACAGAAGGCTCCATGTTTAATCCCCAGCATCTCCAGGCTGGGCTGGGAGAAAACCCGCTCTGAAATCCTGGAGAGCCACTGCCATTCAGTGTAGACATTACTGTGCTATATGGGCCAGTGGTCTGGCTCAGTACAAGCCAATTTCCTATGGTTTCTTCTATAAACATGACTTGCTTGGGTATAAGTCTGGAGAATAGAAGAGTGAGGTAGGATTGATAGCCATATTCAAGTACTGTACCTGAAGGGCTGTTTTCTCCTGCTCTGGAAGGTAGGACACAAACCAATGGATTCAAATTACAAGATAGAGGAGATTCCGACTAAATATTAGGAATAATTTTATGACAGGAAGAGTTGTTCCAACAGCGGAATGGACTGCCTTGGAAGGTGGTTTTTAAGCAGAGGTTGGATGGCCAATTGCCAGGGATTATTATTTTAGTCATGATTCCTGCATGGCAGTGGGGGGTCCCTTCCAACTCTGCAATTCTATGATTCTTTAAAAGAAGAAAAGGAATATATGAGGTACTTTCCTGCTGCGTGAATATTTATTCCATTTGACTAGTGGCATGGACGTGCTCATTTTACTAATAATAAAAAACATGGTTGTTCTAGTACAGTGGTGCCTCGCAAGACGAAATTAATCCGTTCCGCAAGAGTCTTCGTCTAGCGGTTTTTTCGTCTTGCGAAGCAAGCCCATTGACGGATTAGCGCTATTAGCGCTATCAGCTGTTTAGCGGCTATTAAAGGC